TTTAACCTCCGCTTGAATAACAAATTACTGGCAGTGGAAATTTCATTGTATCTGCAAGGAAGTCCACACTCCCTCTGTGTTTGAGATATTTGCCCTGTTTACTTAATTCCGGAGAGTTTTAGTCACAGGTTGGCAAGAGCTAAGGCATGGTGTGGTCTCTGGGAGGTGTGCTTTGGGGGGCAGATGGGGGTTGTGGGGTGTAACTGCTGGAGTTTAACAAAAGTTCAGAGTTTTCAATGTGACCAGAAAAGAGGTAATGACAGCTCAGTATTAATAATTCTGGTGCAAACCTTGGGGACATTTTATAACACTTTTTTTTGCGATTATTAACACAAGGAAGCGTTGCAAAACTCGAAGCTATTATTGAAGATCTTTCTCAGTTTGTAACAGCATGACACACCCCAAAAATATACTCGTATTTAAATAAAATTTAGTGTGTCCAACTATTTTTATCCTCACTGGCAATCGCCTCTCTGGTACAACCTTCTCTTAGTGAGGTGTGGGACCAGGACCCTGCTAACCCTCTGGTTACCTCGGCGCCCACACTATGTGGCCATTTTTCATGTGTGGAGCCTTGGAAATGAATGCGGCAGCTTGAGGCCTGACCTCTTGCCACCTGGCTGCCACACATGTGCACACAACCACAAGAGGGTGCTGTAGAGGGACCGGGAGCAGGAAACGTGACTGATGTTCTCCTCCCTAACCCTTGGAGGACCACGGCCAATTTACAACAACAACAACAACAAAATGACATCTATACAGCACCTTTCCCGTCGGAAGGACGTCCCAAGGCGCTGGACAGACAGAGAAACCTCCCCATGCAGCCTGGGCTAACATCAGCAAGCTCAACACAGGCCCAGGTTTCGAACCTGCGATCTCCTGGACTGTAATCTGCAGCTCTATCCACTACACCATCAGGTAAAATACATAAAGTAAATTATGCAATTATAATAATACATCCTGCACTATCTTCTTCATAAAATTGGAACTGAGGAGAGTTGATGATGAAGGACACGTTTCAACCAATTTGATTTCATCCTTTCCTCGACCGACTTCCCTCTACAGCATTGAATTGGTTGTGAAACGAGTTCAGTGTCTTAGAAAAAAATCAAGTTAGCTTTATATAAAACCTTGGTTAGACAACATTTAAAACAGTGTGTGCAGTTCTGGTTGCCATATTAGAGGAAGGATAATCAGAATAATAATAGTCCTTGCATTTTATATCTATGAAGCGCCTCAAAGGCACCTCAAAGGCACTTCACAGAGTATACTGTAAAGTTAATTAACTGTACATTTTGCAGCAGAATATTGCAGCATTGGAGCGAGGACAGTATAGATTAACACGGATGTTACCAGGGATGAATGGATAGAACTATGGAGAAAGGCTGGACAAATTGCAGCTTTTCTATGAAGAGTTAAGATGATTGAGAGGAGACCTGATCGAGCAGTTTAAGGTTATGATAGTATTCGCTAATGTGGATGTTGATAGATTGTTTCCACTTGTTGATGTCCAAAGCAAGAGGGTATAAATAAAAGCTAGCCAGTCACACATCTAATAGGGTGATTAGGAGGAACATCTTCATGCACAGGGTATGGTGAATATGGAACTCATAGCCAGAAGCTGCGGTTGATGCAAAAAGCATCAGTGTGTTTACTAGGAAACTTAATGTGTACACAAGGGAGAAGGAGATAGAGCAGAATAGGAAGGGCGGAGGTTCGTGTGAAGGATAAACACCATCAAAGACTAGTTTGCATAGAGAAGTTAGTTACTCTCCTGGCCAAGAATCCACCAAAATTGGTCACTTACTTTGAGGGACGTTGCTGTGTGTAATTAGTTGCCGCATTTCCCTCTAAGACTACACTTTAGAGTATATTGGAGTCCCGGAATGGTTAGCGTGCTCCCCTCTCAAGCGAGAGGATTTGGGTTCAATTCCATGACGGGGCAAAACCTTAGGCAAGATTCCTTACTCCACATGCCTCTGTTTAGTAATAAATAGGAACCCAGCTGTTAGTCGATTGACAGATTGCTTTCTGAGGGTAATAAAAATGTGGTCACTCAATCCGTGACTATTTGTGGGACACTGCTGTGCACAATTGGCTGCCATGTTTCGCCCACAAATTACAATATTCTTTACAGTATATTCTGTGAATTGCTTTGAGTCGTCTCGAAGATGTGATAAGGCACTATATCAAATGCAAGGATTATTATTATTATTATTATTATTATTATTATTATTATTATTATTATTATTATTATTATTATTATTATTATTATATCCTGTGAAGCCCTTTGAGATGTGATATGAAAGGACCTGTATCAAATGCAAGGATTATTAGTATTATTCCGAGCTAACTTACTCTGTATGGTAAACCTGCCGCAAAGAGCCTCTCTAAGATATTTACTCTTTAAGGCTAAGGAGCCCAAGCTTATCTGGTCACTAGCTCATCCCACTAATCTGAGATCAGCGTGTTGCTCCCCTTTGTAGAGTTTCCCAGATTTGAGCAGCTATCACTCCCTTCCTCTCCTTCTATGTTCAATGAATTACAATGCAACTTTAATAATAATAATAATCCTTGCATTTGATATAGCGCTTTTCACGTCTTCTCGACGTCTCAAAGCGCTTCACAGAATATGCTGTAAAGTGAATTGACTGTATATTTGTGGGCGAACGCGGCAGCCAATTGCGCACAGCAGTGTCCCCACAAACAGTCATAGATTGAAAATGACCAATTTATTATTGTTTTTGGTTTTGGAGGGATTATTATTAGGCTCTGTGTGGAGTAAGGAAACTTGCCCAAAGTTTCGCCCTCTGCCTGGAATTGAACTTGCAAAGTGAGTGCTCTAACCACTGAGCTACAGGACTCCAAGTTTAACCTTGAGCTCTAACTCTCTCTCTCTCTCTCCTCCACATATATATGTGTGTATTTTTCCTTTGTCTCCGCGCAAAGCAAGATTTCTTTTCGGTCAGTCAAGTGTCTGACAGACACGTTAACAGCGTTAGGCTCCACAAGCCCATCAGCCCATCCTTAAATGTTTGCATCCCAGAGCAATAATATATAATAATTGTTGGGTGCAATTTGCTGCCACATTTTGTTAACAATTGTTGATTTTCAGCGTATCTGCCCCCACTCTCTGGAACTCCATCCAGGAGCCCCTTGGACTTGTCTTCTTCCGCCCCTCCTTCAAGCTCCACTTCAAGACCTTCCTCTTTCACCATGCTTTCAGCCATCTTTTCACCTCCTCCCAATACACATCGCTCACCTCTTCCCCCACTTCACACTCCCCGGCCTCCATCCTCAACTCGGGGACCAACTCTGGTCTGTTCTCCTGATGTGAAAGGTGCTGCATAAATGTAAGTTTGTATTGTATTGTATTGTGAGCCATCATTATGTTTAAGAGGATCCAAAGACTGAGAGTTCCACATCTGTATTGTCAATTGCACACAGAAATTTCCCCGTATCTGGAATGGAATATGATCTCATACAAAGTAGGACCAGACATTTGAATTCCAGCTTGGTCAGAAGGGTCTTGGCAAACGTGAGGAGGTTAGTGAGGGTGTTAGTGAGGAGGTTAGTAATGAGGTTAGTGTGGAGATTCGTGAGGAAGTTAGTGAATGGGGTTAGTGAGGAGGTTAGTGAAGAAGTTAGTGAGGGGTTTAGTGAGTAGGTTAGTGAGGAGGGTTAGTGGAGGAGAGTTAGTGAGGAGGTTAGTGGGGAGATTAGTGAGAAGGTTGATGAGGAAGTTAATGAGGAGGTTAGTGAGGAGGTTAGTGAAATACCTGTTGGGGTTGAGGTTGATGGTGGGGGGGTTAGTTAGTGAGGATGTGGTGGTTGGTTAGTGAAGGTGCAGAGGTTGGTGAGGACGATGGTGCTGAATGTTAATTATAAATTGGGTAAATACTCACACTTCGTGGATCGCCGATCAGCTCTGCACAAGGTTTAAAATGTTTATCTAAGATCTCGTAGAACAAATGTGACATTCACAGGGCTGAAATAACACGTCTGTGGTTTCTTTTGTGTCGCTGTACTTCGAGGTGATGCTGTTTTTTACCCAGACTGGCAATAATAATAACAATAATAATCCTTCAGTTTGATATAGCGCCTTATCATACCGTCGAGACGTTCCCAATGAGCTTCACAGGATTTACACAGTTGGTATCAATTTTGATAAGAGTCGATGGGGAGAAATGATTTCCTCTGGTCTGTGAGTCAGTGACCAGAAAGCATCAATTTCAGTTAGTTTAAAAGAGGAGATCAGAAGGATTTTAATAATAATAATCCTTGCATTTGATACAGCATCTTATTGTGTCTTTGAGACATCTCAAAGCTCTTCACAGAATATACTGAAAAGTGAATTGTATATTTCGTGGGCGAAACGTGGCAGCCAATTGCGCACAGCAGCGTCCCACAAACAGTCGTGGATTGAGTGACCAAATTATTATTATCATAGTTTTTATTTAGTTTATTTTTGTGTTATTTGTAATTGTAATATGATTCCATGTCAAACCTCCTAAAGCTCAGTGACAGCTTAAACAGGAGGGCGGGATCTGGGCAGTGATGGAGCTATCTATAGTGATTCACTAGGGAGGGTGGGCTCTGGGGGAATGATTGGCAGCTCTGAGTTGTCAATCACCCAGATGTCAGACTCTGGAGCAAATATCTGGAACTATTCTCTGGGGCACTCGGAAATTTCTGAATTTCCCATCTAACTCGTCCACACACTGCACTTTACAGTACATCCTGTGAAGCACTTTGAGAGCTCTCGGTAACGTAATAAGGCGCTGTATCAAATACAAGGGTCATTAATAAGAGGGTACTGGTTCCTGCTTGTATTACACAAAGTGGGACATTGGAATAAGTGACAATAACAACAAGAACAATTACAATCATCACAAGTTATTGTAAGAATTATTATTGTTTATGACACAGGAAATATGAAACGGTAGCCAGTCATGGTCTGACTTTAGCGAAGCTGGAGATCATCCAGTGCTGGACTGGGTGGAAGGTCCCCAGTTCTAACCAGAGCGGCTGTGAAGTAGACAGAACAGGAAGCTTTGCTATTGCTGCTGCTTGACAGGGCAACCGCCGCAGAGAGATAGTGAGCTGCTCAGTTTCACACAAACAGAAAGTGTTTGGATTGGAGACGGAATTTCCTTCTACGTCCATTGAGGAGCAAAAAAAAATCTTTATCTCGAAAACCACGAAGAGGCAAGCACAAAAGTAAACTGTTCCCTGGCCAACTCTCTCTCTCTGTTAATCGCTCACACTTCTTTTCCACAAGCACCTAAGACACAGGAAGGCATTAGAAGAGCTTTCACACCTGAATTCTGTTTCTCTCTCGTGCTCTGAATGGGGTAAGTTATTTTATTTATGTATTTAATATAACTTTGTGTGTGTGTTTATTTTACTTGTTTCTCTCTCCTGCCCTGAATGGGGTACTAAAACCTCTTTTAATAAAAATGGTTAGAGCACTCGCCTCGCAAGTGAAAGGATCCGTATTGGATTCCCGGACAGGCCGAAACGTTGGGTGAGGTTCCTTACTCCATGCGCCTCTATTTACCGAGCAGTAAAGAGGAACACGGTTGTTTGTCATTTGGCGGATCGCTTTTATGGGGTTAATAATCCCTCCAGATAAAATCAGTCACCGGCTTCATGGCTGTTTGTGTGGGACATCGCTGCGTGCAAATTAGCTGTCTCGTTCGCCTACAAAAATACACAGTCACGACACTTCATAGTTAAATCCTGTGAAGTACTTTGCGACATCACGATGACCTGATAAGGCACTGTACCAAATACAAGGTTTGTTATCGAAAAGAGGGTTTTATTGTAACGTATCTGCTCGAGAAAGAGAAACAGAGAGCAGTGCTTTATTCTCCTTCTTAACTAGAGCAAGTGTTGCTGACTGATTCTAAACCCAATTACCCCCTGAGGGGTCTATACGTTTGTCTGTTGTCTCCCAAAGTGGCTTCTATTGTCTTTTATAAGATGTCCAGGTTTACCAGGTTAAACAGGGAGACCATCGCTCTTATTTTTTGGTTAATCGGGTGTCAGTTCCTGCTTAAGGCTGAGAGTTTTGTGTATGCCAGCCACACATGGAGATTTGCCCATGTCTGAAATGGAATGTGTTCTCTCTTGCTCTCGCTCTCTGGAGGGACGCACGCTGCTAACCTAAATTCAAAGAGCTAAGGTTTGGGGACCCATCAATGGCTTTCCCCAACTCAAACTTTACTTGAGCTCTGCAGTCTCAGTTGGATTCAGCTTTGTGGCCACTCGCTGGTTAGTCATAACATTCTGGGTTCAAATTCAGGTTGTCAGAGCTTTGAACTCAGTGTAGGCTGACACTCAAACACAGTGCTGGGGGGAGAGCTGCAATGTGGGAGATGTGGGAGGTGTCGTCCTTCAGATGAGACGTTAAACAGAGGTCCTGAATCACAACACAGCAGCCAATTTGTACACACGGATGTCCTACATACAGCCACAGAGTGAATGACTGATTTTATCCTGCGGATTGTTGACCAGGACACCGGGAGAAACTCTCTTCTCTTACCAAATTGTGACGTGGGATCTTTATCATCCAACTATCAGGTAGGGAAGAACCTCTAGCCACTGGAGGTGGGGGCGGTGGGGGCAGGGGGAAGGGCGGAGGGGGCACCTCAGTGAGAGGAGGTCAGATTAAGGACAGAGAGGCAAACAGCCGGGCAAGGAATTAAATTTGTTTTTTAGAAATGGCAAAGAAAATTGTTTCAAAGTAAAAAGTTCTAAAAAAGGATTGCTAGTGCACGCTAATGACTGCATTGATCTTCCTCAAACCGCTGTTCTGTTCCCCACCTACTCGTCAGTTTCTTTATGAATGACAATGTATAATAATAACACTCATTGCATTTCAATCGTCACCCATACGTCTAAACATCTAAAACATCAGCTGTTTGCCCACAAAACACACAGGCACCGCAGTTTACAATAAATCCTGTGAAGCAATGAGGAAGACGATGTACTGAATGCAAGAATTACTATTATTAAAATAACTGTTACGGGTAATTGCTATTAAATGTGGTAACTGTAGTTTGTAGGTAAGGTCCCGTAGGCAGCTATGATGTGAATGAGAGATGGGGGTGTGGAAGGAGGGAATGTGTGTGAGGAATTGTCAGGACACCAGGAGAAATTCCCGTCTCTTTTCCAGCAGGATCTTTAATGTCTGACCAACCCCCCCCACACCCCCCCCCACCCCTCTTTATTTCAGAAGTGAGGGGTCGTGAGAGGTGGTGGGCAGGGGAGACATTTGGAGCGGAGGAGTGGAACGGGGCAGAAGTTTGATGAACTTCTGCTTTTGTCGAAGAACCAAACTTAGCCAGTGGGTTTCGTTCAGGGCTGGCAAACAGCACATCTGCCACAAACTCTTTACATGGTAAAACGATCGACAAAATTGCTCGTTCACTTCACAGCTATGTGTGGGGACATTTACTGTGTGTAAATCGGCTGCCACGTTCATCAGCAAAAATACACAGTCACCACACTTTGCAGTAAAAAATTATGTGAAGCGTTTTGAGACATGACAAGAGGTTATATCAAATGGAAGAGTTATCAACTTTTTTTTTGCTCTCAGCCTCTCCAATGACCTTCGTAAACTTGAAAGCTTAGAAATTGTTTGAGGAATGAAAATTGTCACCATTTGGTTCTTGTCTGAAGCTCTGCTCTTTACTAGATTCCAAGTGATTTATCATATTAATGTCAGTTTCCAGTGCTTTTCCCATATTTCCTTTATTATTCCCCTTTTGAATTATTCTTTTTACAGAGTTTGAATCAAATAGCACAGATGGATTTCAGAGGAAGCTCAATATATACATGAGGGAGAAGGGACTAGTTCAGCTGAATGGTCTGTTTGTGTCATAGAATCTATGTACAATTAATAATCATAGTAATCCTTGCTTTTGATATAGTGCCTTATCACATCTTCAAGATGTCTCAAAGCGCTTCACAGAATACACCATAAAGTGAATTGATTGCATATTTTGTGAAACATGGCAGCCAATTGCACAAACAGTCGTGGATTGAAGTGACTAATTTATTATTTATTGAAGGAATAAGCAATCCGCCAATCAACTAACAGCCGGGTTCCTACTTACTGCGAGGTAAACAGAGATGTGTGGAGTAATGAAACTTGCCCAACATTTCTCCCTGCCAGGAATCGAACCCACGTCTCTCACTTGCGAGGCGAGTGGTCTAACCACTGAGCTACAGGACTCCAATGCACTGTAATGTGAATTGACTGTATATGTTGTGGGTGAAATGTGGCCACAACTGCACACAGCAATGTCCCACAAAGAGTCGTGGATTGAGTGACCAATTTATTATTATTATTTTGTTAGATGGATTATTACCTGCAGGAAAGCGATCCACCATCCTTCTTGCTTACTGCTAGGTAAACAGAAGCTTATGGAATTGAACCCAGGTCCTCTCGCTTGCGAGGCGAATGCTCTAGCCACTAAACTGCATGAATCCACTATGTAATCCGTTCACTCAGTCCACAACTGTTTGTGGGACACTTCTGTGTTCAATTGGCTGCTGTGTTTCGCCCACAAAATATACAGTGAATCCACTTTACATTATGTTCTGTTAAGTGCTTTGAGATGTGATAAACGGCTATATCAAAACAAAGGATTATTATTATTACAATCTATGTAAATCTATGTTAATCTAATTTTCTCCCCACTGACAATGGTTAGCCTTGCTCAGTCACCTCACACAGTTTTGCCTCTGAGTCAGAAAGTCGTGGGTTCAAGTTTCACATCTGGGCCTTTGATCTCCTGCAGTCGTGGCTGACACTGTGCTGGGGTGGGGGGGAACCGAGATGCCATTTTACATAGGAGACATCAAACTCCAACCTGGAGTTCCTCTGATTCATTCCCTCCCTCACCTTATTTAAGGTCCATCTCAAGACCTTCCTCTTCGATCGTGTCTTCATTCATTTTTCCCCTATCCACCACCCTTTGGCTCAAACCCCCAGCTTAGTAGCCAAACGAGGTCTATCAAGCATCTTGAGAAGTCCTCCCGATGCGAAAGGCGCTGCATAAATGTGAATTTGTGTTGTAGATAGTGTATTTATCTGGTCTGGGCACTGCCCCAGAAGAAGGAGAAGAAAAAAGGGGAGGGAAGGTGACCTCAGGCTGCTAAAGGACTGTTAATACTGAGGTTCAATACCTGGTTTACAGATTTGAGAGGCTGCTCAGTAGAAGATTGTCCTCTTTCCAATCGTGCAGAATTCTTGAGAATGTAAAGTTTTACTTGTGGGATGCCATCTCTGAAGATGAATTCTAACCTTCTAACCTCTTCCCTAGAGATGCCTAGAGTGTGTCACCCTGGCTCAGTTGATTGCACTCTCACTTCTGATTCATAAGATTTTGGGTTCAAGCCTCACGTTGGGACTTTGGACTCATATCCCACATATCCCCCTTTGGAACTTCCTCCCACAGTCCCTTCGTCTCGCTCTCTCCCTTGCCTCCTTCACGGCATGCCTCAAGACCCTCCTCTTTGACCGAGTCTTCGGCCACCCTCCTGCCCTCTCTGCCCTCCACCCTCCCTGATCCCAACCCCCCACCCACTGCTCGGGTTCTAATCCCTGACTGTTCAGCGCATTGAGGTGTCCTCCCAATGTGAAAGCACTTTACAAAGATAATTTTGTATTGTATATAGTCTAAACCGCCACTCCAATGCAGTGCTAGGGATGTGCTGCATTGTTGGAGGTACTGTCCTTCGGATGTTAAATCGAGATCCCCTCTGTGACAGTTCAAGTGGATGTTAAAGATCCCTTGGTACTATTTGAAAAGAGAAAAGACTTTCTCCTTGTTTCCTGACCAACAATCCTCTGAATAAAAATTGGGCATTCACTTCATAGTTGCTTGTGAGACATTGCTGTGTAGCTGTGCAAAAAATCGCTGCCACATTTGCCTACAAAGAAACCTGCACTTTATAGTGTTGCCTATACTCCCAACGTGAAAGCTCCTCTACCAAAATAGAAGGATTATTAGGGATGCCTTTATCCAACAGTGCCAGTCTGCAACTTAATAAATGACAACTACCATGGGTTCGAAAGGGTAGATCTTGCCTGACCAAACTATTTTGAGGAAGTGACATTGCAAATTGTGGGAAGTCATATGTCATATGGTACAGTAGTGCGTCAAGATTTCCAAGAGCCATTTGACGAAATGAGAGAACGTTTCACAAACTAACGTCTCTGAGTACCAAGAAAAGAACCGGGGGTGTCCTTATTGACAATAAATTGAAGCCACTACGAAAACTGGGCGGGTTCACACTGGAGAAGAGAAGGTTGAGAGGTGATTCTAAAGGAACTGGATAATGTAGAGACCATGATAAAATGTTTTATGATAAACTGCGGAAACAGTACAATCCAAAATTACATTTATATAGTGCCTTTCATGACCGGAGGAATAGAAAACATTATTTCAGTGAGCGAGTGGTAAATCTATGAAATAGGTTCCCTAAATTTTGAAACAGTGAGGAATTTATTTCAAGTAGTTATGATATAAGATGGACCCACTTGCAGTCAACGATAAAAAACACAAGTTCCTGATGGATTGGAACTAGCCAAGCAGGAATCTGAGGCAGATCTAGGAGGGTTTGTTGACTGTCTGTTAAGCTTTCCAGCCGGGCAACTGCCCTCACTACCGTCTGGGCTTTTCACTTGCAGAGTTACCAGGAACTGAGTGGGGAGATTCCCTGCTTCTGACCCCCAGTGATTGGCAGCTCCTCTCAAGTCCTGCCAATAATCCAGGCCGTCTGGCCCATCATCCACAGGACTGTGCACCTGCCTCATGTTTATAAATCATTACCAATAAAATAATATGGCTTTATATTTGTCATTTGACCAATCATTTCTTTTGCTTTAGGTATTTGGGCTGTTCACTCAGAACCCATTATTTCCCTGGCCGCTGTTTCTCCCTGAGGATCTCTGTTATGTTGCTGTTTATATATTTCCATGTGCTGACTATTGCGGTGCCAATTGTGCTCAGCGCTGACAACTTGGAGAAACTCACTGATCTCTGTAAGTATTTCCGTGTGTATCCACCCATTCTGAGCAACGCTGGTCAATTTAACTTCCCTCTACGATCTTCCTCCCCACTCCTCCAACACACTTCTGCAACTTCCTTCAACCACGCTGACCCAACTCTTCCCTACACTCAGCAAGCACCAGCCTGTTTGATCTTCTACTGTCCCACCATGAACGAGCGAGCTTTCAGCCACTCTGCCCTGTTGTCTGGAACTCCATCCTGAAGTCCCTTTGACTTATCTCCACCCTCCCTTGTTCAAGCCCATTTCACAACTTAACTTGTTGATTGAACTTTCAGTAATCTTTCCCGTCCGGAAAACCCTCTCAGCTCCCACCCCTAACTCGGGTGCCAATCTAGCTTTGTCAGCACTTTGAGGCATCCTCCTGACATGAATGGTGCTGTATAAACATGTATTGTATTGTATCATTAAATCGACCTCAAGACCCACCTCTTCAATCGTACCCTCCCTTTCCCGCTTCTCCCTTGCTCGGTATCCAACCCTGACACTGTACAACGCCCCGAGATTCTATCCCACGTGAAGGGCCACAGATCAATGCAAGCTGTTGCTATTTTTGACAATGTCTCTTTGAATTAATTTGGATTTCTTTTTATTGATTAACCAGCGGAAATTAATCCGCCCGCAGACGTTCATATGGAGGAGATTGAGTTGGGAGAGCTGTCCATATCTTGGAACAGTAACCTCAGTGAAGACATCCACAAGATGTTCTCGATCAATTACCAGTTTGAGTGGAAATACAATGATTCAGTGACTTGGCAACCGGTAACTTTTAATTTTTACTTAATTCGTCGAGTCGCTTAATAATTTAATAACAATATTAGTAATAATCTTTGCATTTGACATGGCATCTTATCACATCTGTGAGACATTTCATAGCCCTTCACAGACGATACTGTAAAATGGATTAACTGTGTATTGTGTGGGCGAAACGCAGCAGCCAATTGCGCACCGCAATGTCCCACCAACAGTATTGGAGTGAGTGACCAATTTTATTTGGGGGGTTGTTAGCCAGGACACTGGGAGGGAAAAACTCCCTTCTCTTTGTGAATAGGGCCGCAGGATCTTTAACATCCACATGAAAAGGAGACAGAACCTCGTTTAAACATCTCAACCGAAGGACTGTGGCTCTGACAATGCAACAGCCCCACAGCACTGCATTGGAGCGTCAGTTTAGACGATGTGATTCCAAATCCCGACACGGAACTTGAACTCACAACCTTCTGAGTCAGAAATGAGAGGGCTACCACTGAACCTGGCTGACACACATTTGATGTCATACAATAAGTTGCTTTTATACAGAGCCCTTGATGTTAGGCAATGCCTTGGGGTGGAAATGAGACTGTTCAAAGATGAGGTCAGACGCTGAGGAGAAGAGAGGAGGGGGGGGAAGTGGGAAGGGGCCATAGGCGATTTCCAAGAGATAGCTTTTGAGACAGGGAGGGGATGGAGGAGATGGATTGGAAGATGCTATATCCAGGCCTAGGTTTATTATTTACTAAACTGACACCAAATGTTAGAGTTTGGCAGTTATATAAGTCTGCAGTACCAAGTGATAATGATATCAAACATCAGGTAAAAGCCTCCAAGCGGGTGGGCCAGCGGATCTGGAATAACCATTTTATCACTAGCACTGAGATTTGGGAATTGTGTTGTAGGCCTCCAGAATGGAAGACCCAGAGTACACGGACGATTTTGAGTTGCACAGGGGAGTGGACATGCAAGTGAAGAATGTAATCATAGAGAAACCCATTAATTTTGATTCCATGGAAGCCGAAAGCAACTGGACTGAAATGCATTACCCGCCCGCCTCAGGTAAGCCGGTGAGGGAGGGGAGGCTGCTTGTGTTGGCAACTTGTTAAGTGTTAATATAGTGACAACATACCTTTATATGGTGCCCTTCATGTGAGTAGCAACTCGGAGAGCTTAACAGTGGAGTGGATTCACACACGAAGCTGGATAGGGAGGGCAGGTGATCGAAGGTATGGTCAAAGGCATGGGAAAGTCTTGAGATGCCTGAAAGGGTAGTGGAAGCCAATTCGATAGGAACATTACAGAGAGAAGTAGATAATTATTTGGGGAGGATAAGCTTGCAAGGCTATGGGGAAAGAGCAGGGGAGTGGAATTGATTTGAATAGCTCTTTTCAAAGATACAAAGATGGGCTGAATGGCCTCTTTCTGTTGCTGTATAATTCTATAATTTGATAATTCTACGTACAAAAATCAATAAATTTGCAGTTATAAAGCTATGTGTAGGTGTATAGGTACAGCTGATTTCACAACAGCAACACATTACATTTGTATAACACCTTTCCCATTGTGGGGACATTCCAAGGCGCTTAACAACAGGAAAGGGAGAGGAGGTGATCCACGGCACAGTCGAAGAAGAAAGTCTTCAGGTGCGATTTGAAGACGGGCAAAGAGGGAGGCAAGACGGAGGGATTGAGGCAATGCAAGGAATTTGCATGGGTGTCGGTGGGTGACAGTTGAGTTGAACGCAGGCTACTGAATTTAAGGCTTTTTTCACAAAGCTCCCACGATGGTCTGGTCTTGAGGAATTCCAGGGTTACTGGCGAGCAGGGATTCTTCCCACTCACCTCCTGTTAAACCTGAAAACCAAAGCCAAACTGTCAGGGTAGTCTTAGCTGGACAAGCAGCAATTAAACTCCAGCAGATACTCCCACCCCACCTAACCCATACACACACACTCACTCGAATCCTTGCCTCTTGCCAATCTGCACCCCAATATTCTCTGGAATTAGGCATGCAGGATGCATTCCTCGGGGGAGAGAATGCACATTCCATTCCAATACACAGGAATTTCCATGTGAAAGCGGCATTACATGGGACTCTCAGTTTGGTTTGGATACTCTTAAACATGGTGACTGGTGTCTGTGTGTGTCAGACACCTGGCTGACCATAAGAAAAATTCTTGGATCCAAGTGAGGATGAATGTATCAACTCAGTCTAATTTTATGAATTAAATATATATTTTATTGGAATCGTTGCAGGAGATCCAGAAACAGCGGCTGCCAACATTTCATGCATTGTGTATAATAATACATACATGAACTGTTCCTGGCAAATTGGAACTAAGGCCCCAGAAGACATTGTGTACTTTCTACACTACAGGTAAGCTCCTGGAACAGTCAGACAGAAAAATCCTCTATTCTCACCAATCTACACATAAAAGTCTCCAGGATTAGGTAAGCAGGGTGCATGCTCCAGGGAGAGAGTGCCCGTTTCAGACACAGCGTAATATCCATGTGTTGATGGATTGCATTCATATGGATGTGGAACTGTAATGTAAAGTGAATTGATTGTATATTTGTGGGCGAAACGCTGCAGCCTATTGCGCACAGCAGTGTCGCCCGAAGTGAAGGGCGCACAGCAGGGTCGTGGATTGGGTGACCAAATTATTTTCTAAAAAAAAATTTCTTGTGGGATTATTATCAGGCATGTCAGGTTTGAATACTCTTTAGCACAGCAATCACAGCGATGGGTTTCCATATGGCTGAACAATTTTTTGGGGTCAGCTGGGTCCCAGACAAAGGTGGAAACCCATCACCATGCTTAAGAGTATCCAAACCAAACTGGGAGTTCCATGAATCCCACCGACACATGGAAATTCCTATGTATTGGAACTAAATGTGCAGTCTCCCTAGAGGGATGCATTCTGCATACATAAATCTGGAGGTAAGCCATCTGTGTTGTGGTTCTGCCCTGGTGTGTGATCTCTGTATTAATGTCACAAATACATGTTTCAAGACAGGATGATGATACCAGGATTTGCACCGATTACCTTAAGGATGATAGAGGAAGGCATATCGGCTGCCACATTGTCAATGGGATTGATACTGAAGTAATTGTAATTCTACTTGTCAACGGATCAAGTCAACAAGCTGAGATTTACCCAATTTACAGAATTTTTCAACCAAGTTCATTTGGTATGAAACGGGTTTCCTTTATTTGTTTTCTGCCCCTCAGTTCCCAGGTGTAGACTGTGAACACATATATAGTCAAGGATAACATTCTATTGCAGTCCCGGGCAGAGGGTGGGGGTTGCTCTGTGTTGTCAGAAGTGCCATCCTTCAGATGAGGCATTAAACCGAGGTCCCATCTGTCTGTTCAAGGTGGAAGTTAATGATCCCGCTGCGCTACTCAAAAATAAAAGAGAGTTTCTCCTCAGTGTCTCGGCTAATAATCCTGTGAAGGGCTTTGAGATGATTTAACAATTACCCAGATAAGTGCAGCCTGGCTCAATCGGTAGCACCTTCACCTCTGAGGCAGAAGGTTGTGGGTTCAAGCCCCATGTCCGGACTCTGTATTCACCGTCTGGGCTGACATCAAACACAGTGGTAGTGGGTGTATTGTCATCAACAACCACCTGCATTTATGTAGTGCCCCTCACACAGGGTAGCGCCCCAGAGCGCTTGTCAGATGTGCCGTTCTTCGGATGAGACATTAAACCAACACCCATTCTGCCTGTTCAGGTGATGCTAAAGGTCCTGCAGCGCTATCTGAAAAGAAAAGGGAGTTTCTCCCTGGCCTTCAATCCACAAAATAAAATTGGTTATTCACCTCATGGCTGTTTGTGGGACTTTGCATGCGCTTATTGGCTGCAAATTTGCCAACAAACTGTACAGTCTATCCAACTGTAAGGAGTATTATATTATACTGTATTTGTTCTCTCTGTGTTCTGCTCTGATCTGCCCTGAGCATTCCCACTCACATAGCATTGCTCTTTGTATTCTTCATTCTCAGAGAAGTTCAACCCACCTGTAAATGTTCAAGTCGTGAATCACACTGTGAAGTGGGACATATCTGACAATACCTCAATTACCAACCCGAGATGCTTTGCTTATTTACTGAATGTCAAAGATTGGACCAACAACGCTGAAAAGGTAACATGGATAAAGTGTTTGGGCAGAGGGGCCTTTGGTCAGGTGTCACAAGGGTCTAGAATTAAGCTTATAGAGTCTTGGAAAGTCAGCAGAATGGATTAAAAGATGGCTACGAACACAAAACAAAGAGTAGGAGAGAAGGACAGCTTCTCAGACCGGCAAAATGTAGGAAATGGCGTTCCACAGGGGTTGGGGCTGAGTGGGGCAGCTGTGAAATCCTGTAACGCAATGGTTAGAGCATTCGCCTCACAAGCGAGAGGACTTGGGTTTGATTCCTGGTCAGAGCGAAACTTTGGGCAAGTTTCCTTACTCCACACACCTCTATTTACCTCGTCATAATTAGGCACACAGTTATTAGTCAATTGGTGAATCGCTTTTTTAAAATAAAATGTAATTTTAAAATTTAATTTAGTCTTATAGTCCTCTGACTATTGAGCTGCTTTTTAAATTACCGCCATAAATTAGCCACTGGGAAAAGAACAACTTCCTCATTTAAAGTGGAGTCCTGTAGCTCAATGGTCAGAGCACTTGCCTGGCAAGCGAGAGACCTGGATTCGAATCCTGGCAGGGTGAAACCTTGGGCAAGTTTCCTTATTCCACACGCCTGATAATAATCCCTGAAGAAAAAAAATTGGTCACTTCAATCCATAACTATTTGTGGACGCTGCTCTGCGCAATTGGCTGCTGGGTTTTGCCCACAAATATACAGTCAATTCACTTTACAGTCTATTCTGTGAAGCGCTTTGAGATGTCGAGAAGACGTGAAAAGCGCTATATCAAATGCAAGGATTATTATTATTAGAACATCATATTACAGCAAGGATACAGTAACACTGGAAAAAGTAGTGTAGATTTATTAGGATGTTACCAGGAATAAGTGGATACAGCAATCAGGAAAGTGCACAGATTAGAGCTGGTTTCTTTCTTTGTGCCCATCCTCATTATTTACTATCCCCACTCAGCCCCCAAACCAATCTGTGAATTTCGATACCAAACCTCCTATGTCTGAGTTCAAATCATTGATGTAGATAGTCCTGGTACGGATGGCAGTTGATTTAATTTTAATTTTTATCTTGCTCATTATCTCTTTATTCATTTTCTAGAATATTTCTGTCAACGAAAGAACAGATTACAAACTTCTGGTCTACATCCCGTCAAAGCGCTATTCAGTGAAAGTCAGCCTCAGCTTACAGTTTTGTGGTGTCTCTCAATTCTGGAGTGACTGGAGCAATGAAGTGTTTATTGGTAAGAGTTGTTGAAGCTTTAATTTCAGCGCCTTGGGACATCCCCTCGACATGAAGGCGCTGTATCAATGCAAATGTGTTGTTGCTGCTATAATAAACATAACACTAAAAATACATCCAACTGCTCAGTACAAGATCAGGTTCACATAACACATATAACATAACATGTAGGAGCAGGAGTTGGCCATTCGGCCCTTCGAGCCTCTGCCCCACCATTCAATCATGGCTGATCTTCTAACCTAACTCCAGCTAATAACCTGACGCTGCCTTATCTCCATATCCCTTAATTCCTTTTGCAATAAGAAATCTATCTATTTCAGTCTTGAATATGTTCAAGGACTGAGCATCAACAGCCATTTGGGGTAGTGAGTTCCATACATTCACTACCCTTTGAGTGAAGAAGTTCTTCCTCAACTCAGTGTGAAAGGGCTGCCTCTGATTTTAAGGTTGTGACCCCTGGTTTTAGTTTCTCCAACCGGGGAAACAATCTCCCACTATCTACTCTATTATGCCCTTTGATGATCTTATAGGTTTCTTGGCTTGGCTCATGGCTATGAGATGTAGGAGTTTAGAAATTCCACCTGGGCCCAAATTGACTGTATTTTCCACCTCAGAGCAATGCTGGATAAATACTTGGGAAGTTCCTGTGATAAGGGGTAAGGAGAATTGACAAGGGAACTGTATGAAATGAACAATCCTTTCAGACCCATTTACCTCCCTTTTCCTTTGTATACTTGTAGTTTACTCCTTCTTGGATAACTATCTCGTTCCCTAGATCCTTGGGATGATAAAGCAGAGAGGGAAGGTGTGAGGCGGAGGGATTTCGAGAGCGAGTTCCAGAGAGAGAGGTGGCTGAAGGCTCACTCGCACACGGTGGGTCAGAACTGGTGGGCAGTGTGGAAAGGAGCCAAAGGAGTAATCTGTAAGATTACATGGGGAACAGTGCCAAGCCATGGAGACATGGCTTTGAAAAGAGAAGGAAGTTTCTCTCTCCTGGTGTTCCGGCCTACAACTCCCCCCAATAAAACAGATCATTCATACCGTGACTTTTGTAGGAAATTGCTGTGTGTAACTGACTGCCCACACAATACACAGACAAAAAACATTTTCCAGTAAATCCTGTAATAAGGGGAGGATGTAGAGGCCAATGGGCTGAACATTGGAAAACATCTGGAGAGTGAAGGCTGGAGCACTCGGTCAGGGCCAAAGGCTTAAAGGAGAGTTGAGGGTGGAGAGAAACAGACACAAGGCGCTGAATGGTACCCCACAGGCTCAGGTGATTTGGAGCGAGTGGGAAGGTATACACAGTCAGCCCCTGAACTGAGCAAGCAACGTGTCAGATACACGGAGTATTTCCGCACTATAAACACACAGTCACTACACTTCACAGTTAAATCCTGTGAAGCACTTTGAGAGACCTCCTGCATGTCTCTCGTTCCCTCTGCTCCACCATCAGAGGCTGTGCTTCCAGCCATTACCCTCAAGATCATGGAACTTTCTGTCTCAATCGCTCTGCTGGACCATTCCTTCAGATTAAGGACCTTCCTCTTCGATTGTGTGTACAGTCATCTCCTCCTTGGCTCATGGTCAAGCTCCACCACTGTTCAGTGCTCCAGACACTACCCATATGAAGGGCGCTGTATAAATGCAAGTTGTTCGTGTCTCAATGATGTGATAAGACGGTATAGCTAACACAAGGATTAATATTATTTGAATATTATCTGTTGGTTAAGATGAGCATTGGCCGAGTTGTGAATATTTTTGATGTGTCAGCAATATTCTCTGTGTTTTCAGAAGCAGAACACTCAGGAAGCTTTTCCAGTTCTCCGATGCTCATATTACTTGTGGTGGTTCTGAACCTGAGTGTGCTTGTCATTATATGTTTGTTGAAAAGGTAATTTTCTGATATATACTTGTGTGATTTTCTTGCACTTTTAAATAGTCTTGATATTGTGGGGTGACACATAAAGCGGAGGCAAGTAAACAGGGTCTCCGTGTAGATATGCATGTCAGGCTGGCTCAGGGGTAGCGCTCTCGCCTGAGTCAGAAAGTTACGGGTTCAAGTCCCATACAGTCTAGGTTGACATTTAATGCAATGTGTGGCGTGTAAGTGCATTGGAGGGATGGGGCAATTGCTGGAGATTAACCAGATAAGTCTGCTTAGTTTGCCATTGAGAACACATTCTGGCAAGCTTCCCGCTGCTTATCCAGCTACGACCACCTTCCCCATCCCTATCTCCAGTGACCGATCTGCCCTCCCAAGTCCTGCTGATCAGCCCGGCTGGGCTGTGCTCCCCTCAGCAGTGCTCTGGAGTACTGCTGATCCACCTGACTCAGGAACCAGACTACCGAGAGAGACCAGCACACAAACAGAGGGTGGAGAAGAACAGGGCTGCAGTATAATGATGGCAAGGTTGTGCCCTTTACATCCATCTCAACCTCAGGGGCTCCAAACGGATGAAGAGCTTTCTTTATCTGATCATCTGTTGCAACCTGGTGACATAGAAGAGGAAAGAAGTTCTGTTGATCCAATTTGTTGATCATTTGGTTTTTTTTTAGATGAAGTTGATTTTAATTGACCTTTCTGACCATTTAATTGGCCCCAGGGTGATAAAGAAAATGCTCGTACCAGTTCCCGATCCCCAGAGAAAGTTCCCAGAGTTGTTTGGAAAATACAACGGTGACTTTCAGGTGGGTTTGTCACGAAATTAATATGTGTATGTGTGTGTGTGTGTGGTGTGTGTGTGTGTGTGTGTGTGTGTGCATGGAGGGTGTTGGCGGCGAGAACTTGGAGTCTCCCTGCCATTGAGAACACTCCAAGGTGACGTGCTTCCCAATGAAAATCCGCAGGACTCCCGGACACTGCTGATGAATGGTTCCCCATCCCCCAGAGAATCGAGTTCACAATCCTCGTCTTCGCCTTTAAACCCTCCACAGTCTTGCTATGCTCCCTCCCTCTGCGACCTAAAACTTTACCAACCTCTTCCTCCGCTTGGCAGGCACTGGCCTGCTCCAGGACCTCCCATCCCCAACACCCCACCCGCTAAATTTGCAGATCACACAAAGTTGGCTGAGGAACTGTGTAATCAGAGGAGGCAGCAAAGGTCTGACACAGAGAGCTGGAGAAGCTGTGCACATGGGCTGGAAGTGTTTGGGGTGAGACGGGCAGTGTGGCTTAGATGAAGAAAGGTGGTCTGGTTCAGGGGGCAGATGTGAGCAAGTCTACATTCTAGATAATGAGGTCAACTTCCAATCTGTGGGTTTGAACCCAGTGTCTGAGGTACAGGCGGGAGTGGCCTTTACCTATTAGTTTGTTGTTCACACACAGCAATGTCAGACCACAGAACAGGAAACAGAAAACAAGAATCAGGGAACTGAGAATGCTAAACATGGATAGTGAATCAGCATTGGTACTGTTACTGTTGCTTTCATTACATGCAGGCTTGGCAATACTCACTCCCTGCTCACCGGGCGTCCCAGCTTCTCCCTCCTCAAGCCTCAGATTATTCAGAGATAGAACTGCAGCTCGTGTCCTCTCCTGCGCTGAGCTCTGTGAACCCATCTCCCCCCCATCCAAAACTCTTGTTCGCAAATAACTGTTACTACGTGATTGAATTGCGCATTTATATTTTACATTTCAAGCCCCATTTCTGGACTTTGAGCTGATGCTCGAAGCCAGAGCTTGGGTTGGGCTGTATGGTCAGAATCCTCCTATTCTCACCCTCCCTGCCCTTATCCAACCCTGCAGCTCGGATCCAAATCCCTGACTGTCCAACGCCTTGGGGACATCCTCCCGACGTGAAAGGCACTTTACCAATGTAATTTGTTGTTGTTCAGTTGGAGGTTAAAGATCCCGCGACGCTTCTCGAAAAGAGAAGAGTGTTTCTCTTGGTGTCCTGGCCAACATTCCCCAAATAAAATTGATTACTCACTTCATAGCTGTTTGTGTGATATTGGCTGCCGTCGTCGTCAACACTCAGCGAAGGCACTTTACAATAAAATGCTGTGAAGCTCTCTCCAACATCTTGACGACCTTCACCTGGACATTTCCGTGGATTGGAATGAAACGCGCACTCTCTTCCTCCCCAGAGAGACGATTGCTGCTTATCTAATTCCGGAGCGTATTAGGTGCAGGTTGGCGAGAGCCAAGGCTTTGGGATTCAGAGGGTGTGTATTGGGGTAACTGCCGGAGTTTAATCCTCTCACTAGTCACATGTGCACTGAGCATGTATTTCACTGAAATGCCCCAAAGAGTCATCTTGTCTGACGGCCATAAGAGAGGTTCGATGAAGAAGGTCCGTGGCTCCATTTGATCTCACCCTCTGCTTCTTGTGGAACCTCCCTTCCGTGGTCTCCTCTATGTGAAGAAATGCTTCTTTCCCATTCTGCTCTGAATCACTGACCTTAAACCTTAAACCACAAAGCAACTTAAGTCACGTCAGCCTGATAAAACATACATGTCATCTTTTTTCTCTTCCCCTCTCCTCCTTCCTCCAACAGCAGTGGCTCGGTTACAAGGAACAGATCTGGATAGCGGCTGAGTGCACGACAGCTCCTATTGAAGAAAACTAAAGTGACTCAATGTGCAACTCGGTAGCCTGAGGTCGCTGTCCAGTGTGAAGGGCACTGTATAAATGCAAGTTGTTGTTGAGATTGTTTCGTGCGGCCCAAAGTACGGCCTCCAATGCAATCCCCACCCTCGGCCCCAACCCACCCAGTGATTGGGAAATAGAGGTTCAATATTTCCCAAACAAAGGTGTGTTCAGCCAGGAATCCAGGTCATAGGTTTAACAGCTGAACCCAACTGGGCAAGTGTGGTAAATACAGATTAGGGGGAGGGAGAGAGGGACAGAGACACAGAGACACACATATACAAACACTCACCATTACAGAGGTAGAAAGAGAGAGAGACACACACAGAGGCAGAGCTACACATAATAATAAATACACATACATAATCACAAAGAGGCAAAGCAACACACGCACACACACACACACACACACACACAAAGGCAAAGTATTGCAGAAATCTGGTATTAAACACAGTCAGAAGTGAGAAAAAAGCCTCAAAAGTCATTGACTTAAGATTGTTTAATTTTTTTTTCAATGCACAGTTGTGGGAAAGTCAGCAAAAGACTAGAATCCACCCGTGGAACTTGTTAAGAAATCTTTATTAGAAATAACGCAGATTAGCACCTCCCTTTATCACAAGAGGCACCTCTACCTTTTAATGACTCCTCAATCAATGTGAAGCTACTTCTGCAGACTGCTGTGAGCCGCTCTACTTCTTACACTTTGTCACTTTTTATGTTCATCTCAATGTTTGTTTAAAGAACTATCCGTGTTGTTGACAGTGAATATATACATAGAGTACACAGTGAAATTGTATTCCTCACATGTCAAAAGTTGTATTTTTTTGTACCGTTTGCTCCTGAGAAAGATTGCATCTCTTTTTCTAAGCTGTGATATAAAGTTTTGAAAATGTATGACTGTACTGTTAAATTGTTTGTGCCTGTTCAGGTGGACATTAAAGATCCACAACGCTATTTAAAAAGAGAAGGGAGTTTCTCTCCTGGTGTCCTGGCTAACAATCCCCCAGGTATAATAGATCATTCATAGCTGTTTCCTCGGACATTGCTGTGCACAAATTGATGCGTGTTTGCCTACAAAATAATCAACATTGGAGATGTCCTCCTGGCATAAAATCACGCTAAAACAAATATAAGGTTATCATTATTATCATCAGGAGCTTTAACCTGTGATCTTCTGGCTCAAAGCCAAGAACTTTGCTGACGAAGCTAGAGTTCAAATATCTGGTCCACCTTTGTATGAGATCATATTCCATTCCAAATTCGGGGAAATTTCTGTGTGCAATTGACAATACAGATGTGGAACTCGCAGTCTTTGGATCCTCTTAAACATAATGATGGCTCACAATACAATACAAACTTACATTTATGCAGCACCTTTCACATCAGGAGAACAGACCAGAGTTGGTCCCCGAGTTGAGGATGGAGGCCGGGGAGTGTGAGGTGGGCGAGGAGGACAGCGATGTGTATTGGGAGGAGGGGAAATGATGGCTGAAAACATGGTCAAAGAGGAAGGTCTTGAAGTGGACCTTGAAGGAGGGGCGGGAAAAGACAAGTCCAAGGGGCTCCTGGATGGAGTTCCAGAGAGCGGGGGCAGATTTGCTGAAAATCCCACTGCTGATGACGGAGCAGGTGGGGCGGGGACATGAAGCAGCCGAGTGCGACTGGACGGAGGGAGCGGACAGGTTGGTCGGGTGTGATGAAGGCACAAAGTTAGATTGGTACAAGTCCATGGAGTGAGATAAAGGTTAAGACGAGGATCTTGAAATTGTTCCGCTGGGGGATAGGGAGCCAGTGGAGCTGGGCGAGGGTTTGATGAGCTCGCGGAGCCTCGAGCAGTTAATGTGTGTGTGTGTGTGTCAGACACCTGGCTGACCTCCAAAATATCTTGCTTGGCACAGAAATAAAGAAGGAACACACAAATATGTGGAGAGAGAGTGAGAGAGAGAGAGAGAGAGAGAGAAATAACGTTCAATGTTACAAAATCATTCTGCAATAAAAAAAATTCTACTTCCAGCTGATTGTTCAGATTGCTGCAAGAGAATTGATTGTAACAGGAAGTTAAAAACCTCAGCCACAGAGAGGAAAGGATGTCATATCCTCATTAATTCCAGCACAGCGTTAGGCAATCTCCCCCATGCATGGAAAATGCCAGGAAACGTTAGGTCATCGATGCACTTACGGTCAACTCCCCTTTCTCTTGACTTGGCATCAAGCTCTACCACTATGGTATGAAAAGCTCTATAAAAATGCAACAACCAGACAGTGGGGGTAGAATGGTTAAATGGTCACCTATCAAGTTGGGTGGGGGGTTGGGGAAATAGGGGTGGGCGGGGGAGTGGGTAGGATATGAAACAGGACTGGGTTTCTCTGGAGACGAGGGAGCACTAGCAGGTGACAAGGTGGGGGGGGGGGGCGCGGGAGGGGGAGACAACAACAACTTGCGTTTATGTGGCAACCTTCCCAGTGTCTCAGTGCTGCAACGTCTGAGGTTCTGACCACAGACGAGAGGTCCAAACAGAAATCCCATCCTGCAGCTCAGTGGTTAGAGCACTCGCTTCGCAAGTAAGAGGACACGTGTTCGATTCCCAGGCAAGGCAAAACCTTGTTTCCTTACACCACACACCTCACAGTAAATAGGAACCTGGTTGTTAGTCGATTTGCTTTTCCAGGGGTAATAATCTGTTCGAAAGAAAAAAAAGAAAAAAAAATTTGGTCACTCAAGCCACGACTGCTTGTGGGACGCAAATTGGCTGTCGCGTTTCGCCCACAAAATATACAGTCAATTCACTTTACAGTATATCCTGTGAAGCGCTTTGAGACGTCTCAATGATGTGATACGGCACTGTATCAAATGCAAGGATTATTATTATTATTATCTCCGATCTCAGTTGGGTGTTAAAGATCGCATCAAGCTATTGGAAAAGAGACGAAAACAATGTGTGTGCCAGCGTGGCTCAGTTGGGAGCACTCTCGCTTTCAAGTCAGAAGATTGTGGGTTATAGCCCCACATTAGAGATGTTGAATTTATACATCCTCAGCTGACGCACCAATTCAGTGCTGCATTATCGAATGTACATCCCTTTGGCTGACAATTAAATGAAGTCCCATCTGACTGTTCAGGTGAATGTTAAAGATCCCGTTGTTGGGCTCAGAGGAACGGCTGGAACGGAATGAACCGTCTGCACAGGATCATCACAGAGGTTACAGCGCGGACTTGATTTGCCAAACGGTCTCCTCTGTGCTGAAAATCCCTCAATGTGAGTGGCGTACATATGCGGAACTCACAGCCTGATTTGGATACTGATAAACATGTTGACGGGTTTCTATTCGTGTCACACACCTTGTTGACACCTAGAGCAGGGTCTCCAACCACTCGCTCTCTACTGGTTGGCTCTCTCACACACGATCAATAAAGACAAGAGGAAGGAGCCATATTTACCGCAGTTTACCCAATAAAGTTAATATAGTTGTTTCCAGATGAAGTATTTTGTGCATCTTAAAATAAAAATATAAACGTTATTGTGTAAAGTGCAGTTACTCTCAATAACTCCTGACCCAGAGGCAGCAAAAGCGAAAGTAACTTACACTGAGAATTTCACCGCAGGTCTGTGGTCCTGTACTCTGTGTTTATGCATCACAGTGTTTTTTCCTGTGAAGTCTGATGCTCTCCTGTGTTTGAATGAAGGTAGAAAACACATAAAGAACCTTTGCTGAACAGTGATTTCCATTCAGAGAAATTGTACCTTTTTATATTTTATATTTTTTTACATTTTCTCCCAATTTGCTTCATAAACAGAGGATTAGAGTAAGAAAGTGAGGAGGTGATTCTGAATTCATGCAAAAGCTTGGTTTTGAGTACTGTGTTCAATTCTGGTTTCCACACCATGAAAAGTACATAACAGCGATAGAAACTTATGAAACAAGCTCCCGAGGGAGACAGACGGTGGAAGCAGAAAATGTTCTTTGTTTCAGGAACAATATCTCAGGATATAATTTGGGATGTGACATGTCAAACGACTGCCAGGATGGTGGAAGGCAAAATAGATGGACCTTGGTCTTCTTTCACTCAGCAAATTCTTATATTCTTAAGAGTACAGTGTAGGTTCAGTAGGATGATGCCGGGGCTGGTAGGGCACTGCTATCAGGATACATGGATAGGTGAGGCCTTTTTTTCTGCCCTCTTAAAGAGACTTGAAATCCCACTCTAAGGTCTAGATCACCACTAACGTCACCTCCTCCTCTCCTTTCTCCCTTCCTCAGTGTCCAACCCTGCCACTGTTCAGTGCTGATCAAGACGTTAAGACAGAATTAACAACAAGAACAACAAGATTTCATTTATAGAGCGCCTTTCACATCGGGAGAGAAAGGTCTTGAGACCGGCCTTGAAGGAGGAAAGGGAGGAAGCGGCGAAGGCACTGGGGGATAGAGTTCCAGAGCCTCGGGGCTGAGAGGCTGAAGGCCCGGCCACCGATGGTAGGGCGGTTGGGGCGGGGGATGTGGAGCAGACCGGAGCCAGAGGAACGGAGGGTACGGGCAGGTAGGTAGGGGGATAGTAGGTCAGAGAGGTAGGAGGGAGCGAGGCCGTGAATGGCCTTGTAGGTGAGGATGAGGATCTTGAATTCAATCCTCTGGGGGATGGGGAGCCAGTGGAGGTGAGCGAGGGCGAGGGTGAGGGTGAGGATGAGGGTGAGGTGGGAGTGATGTGGTCGCGGTGTCTGGTGTGGGACAGTACACGAGCTGCAGAGTTCTGAATGACCTGCAGTGTGGAGGGAGGGCCGGGAAGGCCGACGAGGAGAGAGTTCCCATAGTCCAGCCTTGAGGTGACAAAGGCGTGAACCAGGGTTTCAGCAGCGTGAGGGGTGAGGTAGTGCCGTAGTCTGGCGATGTTCCGGAGGTGATGGAAGGCGGTGCCAGTTGTGGTGCGGATGTGAGGGAGAAAGGACAGCTCAGGGTCGAACAAAACGCCGAGGTTCCTGATGGCTTTGAGAGGTGGAGAGTGCAGCCTTGGATGCTGATGGTGTCAGCGCCTGAGGTGCGGAGGCGCTGACGTGAGCCAATCAGGAGGGCCTCGGTTTTTCGCACGTTGAGCTGAAGAAAGTTGTCTCTCGTCCAGGACTCGATGTCGGACAGACAGCTGTCAGGACATCGGTGGTCGTGGAGTTGAGAGTAGAGGAGGAAAGGTAGAGTTGGGTGTCATCCACATACATGTGGGAGTTAACCCCATGTCTGCGGATGATGTCACCACAGGGGGAGCATATAGAGGGTGAAGAGGAGGGGACCGAGGACAGAGCCCTGAGGGACACCGCATGAGACAGTGCGGGGGGTGGAGGAAAAGCCGTTTGTGGAAACAAAATGAAGAGTGGGAGAGGTAGTTACTGCAGTTTACTCTCACTAACTCCTGACCCAGAGACAGCAAAAGCGAAAGTGACTTACACTGAGAATTTCACCGCAGGTCTGTGGTCGCGTACACTTTGTTTATGCATCACAGTGTCTTTTTTTGGTGAGGTCTGATGCTCCCTTGTGTTTGAATGTTGAACCGCAGACACATGCTAAGCCTTCAATTTATACGTCCCTATGCTTAATAGAGTCCCATAGCTCAGTGGTTAGAGAACTTACCTTGTAAGTAAGGGGATCCGTGTTCGGTTCCTGGGCAGGGCAAAACGGTGGGCAAGTTTAATAAGACCATAAGACGTAAGAGCAGGAGTAGGCCATTCGGCCCCTCAAGCCTGTCCCGCCATTCAATAAGATCATGGCTGATCTTCTAACCTAATTCCATTTTTTCTACCCAGCTTCACACTTCCCCACATTATACTCCATCTGCCACCCTCTTGCCCACTCACTTAACCTGTCTATATCCCTTTGCATCCTCCTTGTGTCCTCCTCATAGATTACTTTCACACCTAGCTTTGTATCGTCCGCGATACAGGTTTCCTTACTCCACATGCCTCTATTTACTTAGCAG